AGGTTCTAAGAAATAAAGTACCAGAAAGGCAAGAAGACCTTGTCAAGGAATAAATTAGGAGTCATACCCTGGATTTTAATTTCCTAACTCTCAACACTTACTTTGGAACAAAGAGTCAACCAACCTCAGGTATACATAAAAGACACTGGATCTTAGGAATTTCATAATCTAAATTTAACATTGTTCAGACTTTAGCTTCACATGAAAAGTCACCAAGGGAAATCCTTTATTCTTTAATTTTAAGTATCATCATATAAGGCTGACAGAAAATAATGATCAAACTTTTAATTTAGGCCACTGCTTATGCCTTTTAATAATATAAACAAGCCAGGTGCTGTGGCTCACACCTGTAATCCCAGCACTTTGGGAGGTGGAGGCGAGAGGATTGCTGAGCCCAGGGGTTCAAGACCAGCCTGGGCAACTTGGCAAGAACTCGTCTCTACAATAATATCGAAAAATTAACCAGGTGTGGTCATGCACACCTGTGGTTCTAGCTACTTGGAAGGCTGAGGCAGAAGGATCGCCTGAGCATAGGAGGTTGAAGCTGCGTTGGCCATGAATGCGTCACTGCACCCCAGCTTGGGCGATATAGACTCCAGTCAAAAATAATAATAATAAACAAGAAACAACTAGGTACTTTGAATTCATAAATATCTAGGTATTTACCCTCTAGGGTATTCATTTCAACTCTAATACAACCTTAAAGAGATAAAAATCAATGTGTAGGGAAAGTTTAAGATGGAATAATAGCACGTATTGATAACAAATACTAAACACCCTTTATGTGCCATTGCTGTTGAGCAGTGGCAGGTAATATTAGGAGATAAGAACTGAATAAGTGAAAATGGGATTTACAATTGTGATCTACGAGAAAACTATAACATCTCAAATGCTTAGCCCTTTATTAGAACCTGGAGTAGATCCGCCATATAATATGTATTTGATAATCCTTCCACCCCCTAAAGATTGATTTTTATCTCTTAAAGACTATATTAGAATTGAAATGAATACCCTAGGAGGGTAAATATCTAGATATTTGTGATTTCAAAGTACCTAGTTTTTTTCTTGTTTATTATTATGTTTTTGAATTGGAGTCTCACTCTGTCACCCAAGTTGGAGTGCAGTAACACGCTTACAGCCACCGCAGTCTCAACCTCCTGGGCTCAGGCGATCCTTCTGCCTCAGCCTCATCGTTAGCTTGTAATGATTCTGCCTTACATTTTCTCACCTTGCATAGTTCCTGATGCCTTTACCCTCATCTGAAATGATTTCTCTCTTTCTCTCAGAACTTTCAAATGCTTCTAGATCTAGTTTTTTTAAAAATCACTTCCAAAAATCATTCCTACCTCTAAACTTCTAGTACGTATGAAGTCTTCCACTCATCTGGGAATTAGGCACAGCCTGGTAAGAGTATTTAACTGGATGGCTACCTTTTCTTATTTATTTGCAAATAAATAAAAATTAGTTGTATTATTTAACTTTTCATATATTTAAGCTCCTTGGGAATAGTATTGTAGATATTCCTTTCTGCTTATCTACATAGAGGGTGCTATTAAATATCTATTTGTTTGAGCTTACTTAAGACTACTAATCACTTTTTAAAAATCAGTCATAGTACTGATTTCAAAAACTTAAAAAATATAGAGGAAAGTGACGGTATTCTACTTCAGTTCAAAACTACCTTGCTAACCACTACTTTTGGCTATTGCAAGGTGTATTTAGGGGAAAAAAAGTTTGGAGTGCTCACTACTCAAATAATACTGAAGGAAATGAATAAAGTTAGCAAAAGAAATATGGAAACAAGTTGATAAAAGAGTTGATGAGATATTAAAGGAACAAGAATGGAGATCCACACTGGACAGATAACAGAAAACAAGCAAAGGATAAATTTGCAAGAAATCAATGTGAACAAAATTGGCAGTGGAAAGGAATGAACTAATCTTGGCAGAACTCCTCCCCCCACCTAGAAAATTTCAGTGATTTCCTACATCATAACAGGATTATGGAGGAGGAAATAGAATGCTCAGAATAATCAATGAGGAAATTAGTTGATCTAGGCCTCAAGTCCTTCACCTGTAAAATGAATGAATGGACACACGATTGCCTCATGAGAAGCAGGACAGTGTAGAATTTAAAAGTGCACACTGCAACTAGCATTACATAAGAAGTTACCAATATGGGACAGCTGGGTAAAGAGTATGTGGCATGCTTTGCACTATTTTTGCAACTACTTTTGAGTCTACAGTTATTTCAGAAGGAGGTGGAAGGATCACTTGAGTTCTGGAGTTGGAGGCCAGCCTGGGCAACATAGCAAGATCCCATCTTTTTAAAAAGAAAAAAAGTATTTTTTAATGTACTGGCTAAATAACCAGACCACCCAGGTTTGAACACAGGCACAATCACTTACCAGCTGTTTGACCTCTATAAAGTTACTTAACCTCTCTGTGCTTAACTTTCCTCATCTGTAAAATAAGGATAATAACAGCAACAATAGTTTATGGGGGCTAAAGAAGCTAATATAGGGCAAGCACTCACAACAGTACTTATCACACAGTAGGTGCTCAACTGTCAGCCATAATTAAGGTCATTACAATTGTTTTTAAAAATGTATTCTTAGATCGCATTCAGCTCTAAAATTCTGTATGTTTAAGCTATTGCTATGTTTGTACTAATGCAGAAAGATACAAACCAGTTTGCAAAAAGAGAAAAAATTTGGTAGCCATTGAGGCCAAAATTTTAGCTCAGTCACTTGCCTTTCTCCATAACTTAGGATTCAGTGTCATATTTATATACTTGCATTTATTCTTTCAAAAATGAATATATCACAAACAACCATGCTATTGGAGAAGAGTCCCAGCTTCCCCTATAGTCTAGGCCCTAAATAATACAACGTGAAAATCATCTCCAATTGTCATGACTTAAGAACTCAAGAACAGAGTATTTCACATCCCCCTTTCCAGGCCCTCAAAAATGTCAGGAAATTTTTCTTGCTATAACTAATACTTACTGTTTCTTGTTACCAAGAATAGATATAGAAGATAAGTTTTAGATCTTTGTACCTAAAAACCTTCACTGGATCACTATGGTTTTCCTTCTCGTTAATTTCCTTACACATACTATTTTCCAACTGTTTTTCATTTTTGTTGTTATAAAAGATAGAGTCTCGCTCTGTTGCCCAGGCTGAAGTACAGCAGCACAATCACTGCACTGTAACTTCAGACTCCTGGGTTGAAGTGATTCTCTCATCTCAGCTCCCTGAGTAACTGGCATACCATGCACCACTATGCCTAGTTAATTTTTATATTTTTTGTACTGATGGTGTCTTGTTATGCTGCCCAGGCTGGTCTTAAACTCCTGGGCTTAAGCAATTCTCCTGCGTTGGCCTTCCAAAGTGCTGGAATTACAGGTATGAGCCACCACACCGGCTGACGTTCAACTGTTTAACCATCCTCATTACCACTTCACAAAGTTATTATAAGGATTACATGAAAGTCACTTCATCAAAGCACTTACCTCTGTACCTGGCACATAATAATAATTTCACGTACGTTCCTTTCTAACCAAGGACTAAAGTGATTATCTCCATCAGAATGCAAAGCAGATGGAGTATTCTAATTAGAATCTCATAATGAATGTACAGGCACCCTAAAAAACTCATAAGTTTGTATCTTTTATTTGGCATTTTCAATAAAAAAAAATATTATGAAACCAAATCCTAATGGTTTTTCCCTGCCCACCCTAGTCAATTTTTATCTAAATCTCAAATTTTTTAGCTATTATGTTGTCTTTTAAAGCTTAGATGTTTTAAGGTAAAATAGTTCAAGAAACATATACTATAAATAGATATCCTTTGTGAATTTTTTTCCTAAAATTACTCCTAGCCTCACCTAAACCTTATTCAGTCACATTTCCACTTAAAATGTTTTTTTCTCTTCTTACAGTTACTGTAAATGTGCTCCTCCCTACCTTTCAAAATGTGAAATCCTGTCAGAAAAGGCAGATTTTATAAAATCAAACACCTACAGTAATATTGCAACATGCTAGAATATAACTGTGAGAAAATTAATTCAGTAAAAGTGGTATCTTGTTACTTCAGTTTGCAACTCTCATCTCTTTTCTAATGAATTTTAAAGCTGGAACAGTCTGAATGCTTCTCACAATATCAGTGTTTTCTCCTCCTAGTTTTAAGATTCGATTCTGGAAAGTGACAAAACATAAATGAGAAAAATACCAAAGCTAACTACTACTATAGTCTATAGAGCAGTACGGAAGAATTCTGTTTTCACTCTCAGCCTTCTTTGCCTCATAAAGAAGCTGCCAGCCGGGCTCGGTGGCTCAGCCTGTAATCCCGCGCCTTTGGGAGGCTGAGGTG